CGTAATCATTACATATTACTTTGTTCTTAACAAGCCTGTTTGAAGAATTATGCTCCCCATCACTCGGCAAACCTTTAACCATTTCTTACCCCAAAACACCCAAGTATGTATTCATGCTGCCAGACTGTGTAAAAATATATATTTATTGAAATCGGGACCTTGCAAGGTTCGCCTATCGTCCGACAGTTTTTGTCCCATACAGCACATTCAGCTTGCCGAAAAAAAAACTTATCGGTGACCACAACCAGTGAGACTTTTTTACATTCACCCCTGGTATCAGTATACAAGAATGTATACTATGTAAGACGTCGGTACATCAAAGGGTCAGACACTTTCAGGTTAATAACAGAAAGGCAGAAATCTTTCACATCGGACCAAACCCTGTGAACAACCAACAGTTATTCGGATTTTTTTTGTGACGTTGCCGTTCTCGCACGCACTAGAACGGCTCATTAACATAACAATGCCCTCTTGGCTACTCAGGCATGCGAACGGTGTGGAACGCTTTCCAAGGCACCCTTTGGAACGGGGGTGAACGGGGTTGTTTGCAGAACGGGGGGGAACGCGTGCGAACGCGTGCAAACGGTACTTGTATTTTTGATGCCGCCCCTTAGCAGAAATTACATTTATTACTGAATTTCTAAAGATTACATAATGAGACGTAATATTATGCATTAAAGATGATGTAATATTATGCAATAATTATCGTAACATTATCTTTATAAAAGTTGCTGTTTTCTAGGGCTTATAGCCATTCACACGCTGGCTATCACTGTGGTAATCATGAGTTCTCGTGAGGTCCAAAGTTTGCAACACAGCTTGACAACGGAGGAGAGCAATACATTCCTAGCGATGGCCAAGAAGAAAAGACCAACACGACTGAAGAGGAAAGCGTAGAAAGGAGTGCCGATGGCTAGAGGTTTGGAGAAAGGAGGAGAGAGAACAAAAGGAGAAAAAGGGAAAGGAAAGGCTCCTGCTGCCAAAACCAGGGACACTGCATTCCTGTATGAGGATGAGAAGCTGAAGATGAGAGCTGCCATCCGTGCCAGCATGAAGGAGGCGGGCATCGGTATGAGCAAGGTTTACAGAGTGGTTGCGGAGACATCATCTAGTGATGAAGAGGAGTTCCTCGACCGGCATGTTGCAGATGCAATGGCGATGTCTCCCTGTATGGCAGCCATGATGGAGGGAGAGCAGACAGGAGAGGAGGCAGAAGAGGAGACGAGAGGAGACGAGAGGAGACAGGAGAGAAGACAGGAGAGGAAACAGGAGAGGAGACAAGGGAGGAGGAAAGGAGAGAGGAGGCAGAAGACCGGGAGGAGTTTGGAGGAGAGGAGACGAGAGGAAGAGATTATGAAGGCAGGAGAGGAGACAACTGCAGACGAGACAGAGGCGGCTGGCCCCTCCAGAGGAAAGAAGAAAGAGAAGAGGAGAAGAAGAAGGAAAAGATGAAGAGAGAGGTAGAGCCTGATTCGGATGATGATCCTGATCCCCCCTTCAGCGTACCAGAGGGATTTTCCACCGGACAACCTGGGGTGGAGCCCTAGTCTGGATGACATCACTGTCCGTCCATTCAAGGGGAGGAAGCCGGAGGGACCTACCTTTAGAAGGAAGTCATCTCCACTCATCGATTTCTTCAAATTCTTCCCCCGGTGCTGCTCACATCCGTCGCCAAGTGGATGAACAAGAAGTTGTCAGCCAGCAATCTGCCACTGACCTCTCTGAAGGAAGTAAGGGCATAGTTTGGGATTCATCTACTGGTGGGCCTTGTTTGGATCGAAAAACTACAAGGACTACTGGTCGTCTAATCCAGGACTGAGGAACATCCTCATCTCTAACACCCTGAAGAGACACAGGTTCGATGTCCTCAACCAGCACTTGGCCTGTAGCGACCCAGCCACTGACCCCAACCTCATCAAGGACAAGGCCCATCGCTACTGCATCAAGCACAAGCACCCACTCTATCCCCTCCAGCCTGTGTGGGACAAAATGCGTCGTTGCTGCCTGAAGTGCTACAACCCTGGCTGTGAGCTTACCATTGATGAGGCAATGATCAAGTACCAGGGATTTAAAGCCAGCGTGAAAAAGTTCTTCATGCCATCCTAGCCTATACGCGCTGGTTTTAAAGTGTATGCCATTGCTGAGTCGGCCACAGGCTTCCTTCTCAACTTCAAGGTGCATCCCCACAGCGACAAGCCATCAAAGATGAATGACATTGCCCTGTTCGTTGCCAAGCACCACCTGAATGTCTACCACCACATTTTTACGGATAGGCTGTACTCTTCAGTAGGCCTTGCACGGTCACTTCTCTCTAGCTGTACCTATTTTACTGGAGTAGTGAAGAGTGGGAGGAGGGGTCTACCACGGGATTTCTGTAGCACGAAGAAGTCCAGTCCCGCCCAGCTCAAAGTGAAACAGCTGAGAAGAGCACCCAGAGGTACCCTCTACTCGAGGCAGAATGGCCAGCTGACGGTAACCGTCTGGAAAGACACACGGGTGATGACATTACTGTCCAGTGCACATCAGGGCTGGAGGGATCCTGCTATCCACACCTTGAAGAGAAAGTGTGAGGATGAGGAAACAGGACGTCTGAAGCCGGTGACCATTCCAGCTCCTCCTTAAGCTGTCTCCCACACCCGGTGCATGGCTGGCGTCGGCAAAGGAGACCAACTGCGGGTGTACCACACCTGTACCCGCAAGGCACAGCACTGGTGGTGTGCCATCCTCTTCTTCCTCCTTGATGTTGCCGGGTTCAATGCCTAGATTTCGTAAAAACATCACCATCCCTCCACTGACCAGGCCAGAAGCAACAGTGACACTGATGCAGGGGAGACATAGCAAGATCACCAGCCACATACCCATGCCCAGTTCACCGTGGATGTTGCCACTGGGCTGATCGATGGCTATGCCCGAGGTGTCACCCCTCGACCATGGCATATTGACCAAGTTGGGCCTACCTAAGTCTACAAGCCGAGTATGCCCATTATGTGGGGTCAACCTGTGTCCTGGCCGATGCTTCCAAAAGTTTCACAAGGCCACCAAGTTCACAAGTTTTCTTTGGTAGTTTTGATTAAAAAAAGAGGGGGGCAATGATGATGTGCTTCTTTGAAGCAGCAGCTGTGGTTAAAAGACGCAAGTCCTCAGCCCCCAAAAAGCTAGTCTTGGCCCAAGACGTCAGTGATTGATAGTTGTTTTATTTCTGTTGAAGAGCGCCCTCACACAGTTGGTTTTTACTTACTGCAGAACCTTGAAGTTCAAACAACATGGCGGCTTCACGCAAGCAAGTACCCTGTCGATAGGGTCTGGTTTGTGGGAAGGGATTAGTGACATGTAAGACATATTTTCAACTCCATACTAGACATGAAACTGCCACTCTTCTAAAGATATCGTTGGGGACTACAGTTGTGCTGCATCGCATCATGTTTGTGATATCTGTGGCAGAAAAATTGGGGAAACAAAATCATTGTCTGACACCACGCAAGAAATCTGTTCTCGTTTTTATGCAACTTACAATGAGCATGCTGCCTGAGGCCAAATTAATCATACACGCGGCAAATAAAGAAAACGACAACCAACTTGCAGTCCGGGTACTCCATCCTCAAAGGTTAAGGTCTATATGGTCTCTAAGGACGCTTTGGTTAGCTAGGGAGGGCATACTGACTGTACATGATTATGGGTCGAGGACAGCATCCTCTGTCATAACTTAGGCCTAACCTAGTCTGAGTATCACCCGTTCTACTCCGTGCTAACTTGGTACGAATGTCTGAGTTGTCGTGTCTGTTGTGACGGGACTGCAGACAGCCATGATGCATGTGACCTCACAGTGGTGTATTATTGAGGTCATCGAAATTCATTATGCATGCAATTTAGCGAGTGCTCATTGGTTCCCTTGGAAAACCAAGGGAAAAATAAAGATTAAGTTAAAACCCTGCTGCAAGATTACCGAGACGTTAGTACGAGTTGGTGCACAGTCTAATAATGAGTCGTTAGGGGGCACACTATGCACGGTGTCCGCTATCAAGCACTAACGTCTTGAAACCAAGACTACAAAAAAGCTGGCCAGAAACCTGGCATATTGTGGCATACTGATTGATTGCCTCAGGCAGGAATGTAGCCTGACCTTTCACCAACCCTTGTTTGAGAAGAGACCCAGGGGAATCAGGGGTAGGCAACACATAAGTAGCTCATCATGAGCCCAGCAATTGGGTCATTCATCTCATTATACTTAGGTGGCATACATTAGATACAGTTTATGCACAATGATATTGTGTAAATCTGTTTTGATGAGGTATAGTCGATCCATACTCTTTTCTATTTGCAATGGCCCGACTGTACCCAATCAAATAAAATTAAACGGGTAAAGACCTGTTGAAATTTGTTTGATTGGGTACTGTGAGGTAAGAGTGTTTTTCCAAAGTGTTGAAGTTTGTGTGATTGGGGAAGGTTAGGTCCAGCAGCCCTTGGGCAGTTAGGATTAAGCATTCTTAATGTAATTGTTATCTTTTTACATGTACACGTAGAAATACTTGATCCTTTTTAAATTGTAATACTCTGGATGCTTTGAGTTTAATGTCATCTTGCAAGGTCAGATAAAGATCCAAATCAATCAAACAACTGGATAGACTTGGTCAAGGCATTCTTCGCTGCCCCAAACCTTTCTGGAAACAGTTGGATCAAGGCATTCATCTTGGTGCAGCTGGTTTACAAGTCATGCTGGCTTGACAAGGTTGTTGTTCATCTTGATTTTTCCACTGTACACAACAGATTTTTCTATGTTTTCAAGACAGAGTCTGTCGATAGCTAGCTAATGCAGTGCTGGCATGATGAACAAGGCCAACAATTGAGGTGTAACTGAAATAGACTTGAAAGTCTTTATTCTAGGAAAGTCAATTTAACTTACTTTTTGTGATTACAGGAAGGGCTGCGATTTTTCATCTATTTTAGAGGCCATCAAGACTATGAACTGGAAGCTGACACTCAGGAAGAGAAACAGAAGGTACATAACATGTTTATAAGATGAAGTGTGAGTACTTCAGAGTTATTTTCACTGTCAGTCTGGAAACATTTTGTTTTCCTTGAAGGTTAATTTGTCATATGCGTACATGTATATAAAACCTGTGGTACACCTGTGCAGGGGCAGGCAAGCTGTGTTATTTTGCAAATAACATCACAGCCAGAAAGGAAGCATGGAATACTTTTCTGCTGCAAGTCTCAATTATTTACAAAACAGAATTATAGCTCAAAGGCTGCATGTCCTATCTCTTTTAATCAGTTTCAGAACCATTTTTAGCATGTTTTCTGTTTTATTTGCCAAAACTTATGACCCTGTTATATGCCTCTGGGAGTAAATACATTATTCTTCAGTTATATACTTTTATAGAAATAAAGTATTACATTGAATTGTAGTGTTACTTAGCCTTTTTTTTTAAATTGTGAATTTGAAAGGCCCCCTTTTGCCCATAGTCATTTCTTGATGTGGAACTGGCACTATTCGTGATGTAGACAAAACAAGAGACCGTTGCCTCTTTTGTGAAGCAGATTGCTTGATCACTAAAACTCACTGTTGCAAAGAACTAATTTATTTGTTCTTTATCAATATAATTGAATGTTAATTGTGAAATAATACTTTGACGGGAAAATAATTAAATTTACACCATAAAAGCACAGTGTGCATTGCAATAATGTGAAGTTGCCAGCCTGTACAGAAGGAATGCAGTACAGCATTGCGAGCCACTGCATGAAGTGATACAGAACCCAGGATCTCTGAATGTTTTTGGATTATTACATGTACATTCTTAGGGGCCATTCAAAATTTGTGATTTTTTAAATATCAATTTATTTTATTTTAATTGTTTCAATTTTAAAAATTGCATGGTGGTGGCCATATTGAATGCTGTGCCGCAACCGTAAGAACAAATTCCCTCACAGCGCTCCCTGATTTAATATTCTTTTGGATATAAAAGGTTTTTGGCATATCCAGCTGTTTGTTCATTGACTGTGTACATTGAATTTTTGTTACGGCACTTGTTTTTGTTATCGCGTTCTGGATAAAAAATCCCCTGTGGTGCATCAGTTAAAACGAGGAGCCTTCAGGGACCAGCATGGCCATCACTCCGTGAGCCTGGTGACAGTTCAACAGAAAATCAGGCTTCATGTAGCTGTTGAAAATATGGGCACTGAGACCTTGACGTGAATGCATGAAATTGAAAATTATTTGAACAGCAAACTAATTTTGTGAACTAACTCTCCAAAATATTTCTTAATTTTTTTATTGTTTCAGGTTTTTAGATAATCAAATTTTGGAATGTGTTATTTTGTCACTGGGGGTCACTAGCTCCCGGCCATTTCATGTCGTTCTTGCTATTTCTGTGGTAGGAACCATTTTACCGTGCATGCTTCTCGAGTGTTTCCACCACACAACTTGCACTATGCAAGTTGCTTCAGTTGCCAGTTTGCAAATTATGAACAATGATGACCATTTTTATATTTGACTCCATACACCCTCATCTACACAAATATTTATGGACAAATTCATACAATCTCCTGCATTCACACGACCAGCCTACATATGCGAATTTATGCAAATATGCCTATTATAATTCGCTTTAAAGACTTGATTATTCGTACTGCCCCTTGACTTTCCACAATGCACTCCAGTCCTGCCGCCATGTTCGCCCTTCTTTTCTCAGTGCCTATCATTTACAGACATGTCTTTATGGCATATTTGGAGTTTTGAGTTCCATTACATTTTGCATTTGTGAATTGACTAGATTCCTGCTTATGAATACAGAGTGATTTCTTATCTATTGGCAAGAATTTTCTATTTTTGTCATTCTTTTCTGCCCTTTGGGTGTTTGACATGACCTACTGTTGCATTGTGTATGGCTGCTGAACAGGTTTGACGCGTAGCCCTTTGTTCTCAGTGTGGTGCGTGCGTTCGGACAATAACGGCCCTTTATGTTCTGTTATGGGTCTGGCTGTGGAGTGGGGCCTTACGAGCTGCCCTGCTCCCCTGTGGTGCGATGTGTCAGGGAAAGACCCAGTGGAGTGGCTAGGCAGGGGTTGAGCGTGCAGTGCCACAACACTACCCCAGACCTTTATCTACATTGATCGGGTTGAGCGTGCTGTGCCGCTACACTACCCTTGATCACTGAGGACTGCTGCTTGGATTGATTGCATTGAGCTATCATTGACACCTGATGACCACTCCATACACCTACTGATCAGGTTGAGCATGCTGTGCCACAACACTACCCTTGATCACCGAAGTCCACTCTGTATATCTACGCATTGGGTTGAGCATACCAAGCCGCATCACTACCCTTGATCACTGTTAACCAGAGCATGACAGAGCCAGAGCGTCGCTATCTACCACATTTCCAAGTGACCCTGCCTTCCGATGGCCCAGCAGGGCTCGCGGGGCAATGGCCCGCCGTCTGCCCCAGGTCCCTCACTGGTTTCGGCTCGCCGTGCTTCATCTGCTTGGAAGTCAGGCCAGTCAACCCCTTCCAAGCAGGCAACGGGCTCCACAGCAGGTTCGCCACGCTCCACTGCTTCCACCATGGGCGAGTCTTCAGCACAGCATGGCACACAGCCTCATGTTGTGTCAGATGATACTACCCCTTTTGGATTGCTACACTGCCAGGGCTTTCATCCGCCACACCCCATCTGCAGCTCTCTGGTATGACCTCCAGTCTGCCCGTGGACTACGGTCCTGATCTGGGATGCTCCACCCAGGATATGACCAACCATTCAGGGGATCCTCACCCGGCTGCAGCTTCAACTGTCCCAGCCTTCGGCTCCTCTGCTCCAGTCAAGGCTAAGAAATGCAAGACCAAGGCCTCTTCCTGGGTTTCTTCTTCCTCATCCAAGGCCAAGAAGAAGCGCCGCTCCAATCCGGATCCATCCCCTTTGATGGCAACTCTCCAGTCCCTCTTGGAGGCCTTCACATCCCTTGCCTGCAAGATTCCAAGCCTCAGCCAGCGGTGATTGCACCGGACCCAGATCCCCTCTCGGCCGTCCCTCCTCTCTCTCAGCAGGCATTTGAGGTTGAACTGGTATCTGTTGTCCAACCAGACCTGTCCCCCAGCTGGATCGGGCCCTGGATCACATCCCGGATTGTTGTAACTCTATCCTTTCAGCAGGTTTTGCAGAATTGGTAGTCCGTCCCGGGACAACCAAAATATTTTTTCAAACAACCAAATGTTCCAGGCTGCCAGACTGACGGGCGAGTACCTGTTTTCAGCAACACATTTGCTGCATTGCATTTTAATGCTGGCATTTTAGAAATTTCAGCACCGTGTACAGAAAAAAGATCACAAAAAAGCAAAAAAAAAATGACATCCCAACCTCAATGTTGCACAACTCTACTTGTTGGGGTAGGTGCACTGTGGTATGTCCAGTCGAATCAGGCACCGTGATACATCCGGTTGCCATGAACAATGCAGTGGCTGCAGCAGTGGCTATATTCAGTTGTTTTCCTTGTTCCGGATTGCAAAAACTATATTCAGTCTTATTACAGCTCAATTATCTTCAAATTCCAGTGAAATGGGATCAGTAGTCTACCTTGTATATGTATGCAGGCGTTACTTAAAAAATGTATTCAAATTTTAAGCTTTTAGTTTTGTCTTACAAGATCAACAAAAGTGATGAGGGCACTTTTCCTAGTTCTGGATCATGGATTGGTTTAGCCAGTTCCAGATCGCTTCAACAATTTTTTGACACATTAAAGGTATAGTCAAGCGTAAACCCATTTCTCGACCAAAAAATGTAACAAGCATATTTTCTAGTAAAGCACATCTTATTTTAAAGGGAATTAGTTTATCTATTAGAATTTCAGTGCATTAAATGGATAGCCTGCATAAATTTTGACTTGACTTTGCTGCTCAGCGAGCCATCAACCATAAATCCCACAACACCACAAAGTTGGCAAACCCATTAAGTCAGGTACAAAATCTATTAGGCACGTGTAGTTGAGCTGACGATGTCTGTACGTTTACTTGCATGCGCAATCCGAAACTAGGAAAAGCATTCATGGAATCTTGCATAGTGAGTGACCTACCATACAGACTTGTAATTTTTTCAGATGTTAGTTTTTTTGTGTCAACAAACATTGAAGCGCGAATGAGAAATTCCTTTTCTTGAAATGTTCTGGGAACAAAATTTGTACTGCGAGACTTCTATTATACCTTTCAAAAAGAAGTCGTCTTAGCATGTAATGCTGCAGAGCAATAGCAAAAAGGTGGGCATTTATTTAAAGTGATCTGGAACTAGGAAAACAACTGTAATTACTAAAAGCTTGGAGACCACATGGGGCAAAAACTTCCGGGCAACTGAAAATGAAATTCGGGCAACCAGGTTTTAGACTCTCCTGCCCGAAGGGCAACTACATTTTTTGAGGATTTCCTGACCCCTGCTTTTGAACCACGGTTTGGCTCTCCCTTCCTCGGGCCTTCAACTGCTGTCTTCCGAGGATGACGGCATTGACTCTATTGCCAGTCTTACTCAACATGAAGGCTGCCTCCTATCCTCTTGAGCACGACGTAATCCATTTTCTCAAGCTCCCGTCTTCAGATCCTGTGCCTGTGGAGCAAGGACACACTTTGTTTAAGCATCACTGCTACCGCCTTGAGTCGGCTGAGTCGGATTGCACCTGCGTGGAAATGATGAATGCTTTTGTGAAGTCTAAGCACTGGCACGCAATCCTTTCCCCAGGCTCTGTCTTACTACCCCTTTCCCCGGGAGGACGTCTCTATCTCCCTGTCAGTCCCGGACATCCCAATGCAACCAAAGACAAGATTTCATCTGATTCTGGCAAGCGTGCCCTCCTCTTATCGGATACACAACTTCTTGCTGCAGCCTCTGATGCTCGGCCTTCCTCCTTGTCCTCTCAGAATATATTGCCTGGGCCTGCAAGGAAAACTCCCCCGTCTCACCTGACTTTTGCCCTTGCCTGTGCACTCTCGACGATGGACTTAACTCCGTCTTTGAGCAGTTTGTCTGCATCTCGCTTATGGCCACTTTAAGCCGTAGAGCCAACACAGTGGACGGCATGCACATTCCCTTCGAGTCAATCAAGTGCAAACTATTGGATGTATTGCTCCTCAGGGACAACTTGTCCACTGGGAAAGTTTCTGATGTCCTCGAGTTGGAGGTGAAGTGTATGGAGATCACCAAGAAAATGTTGTTTTGTGAACCCGCAGGCAGGTCCGTCCTCATCTTCAGGCTGTTCCTTCAGTCATCCACTGCGGTCAGCAACTCTGTCCTCAGGCTCCTGTCGAGCTCCATCCCTGGCCGCTTCGAGAAGGTTCCAGCCACAATCCGCTGGCCGCAGGTCCACACCAAACGCCCCCAGTCCCCTGGCTCTGCCTCCTCAGCTTAATGGCCAACCTAGTCCACCTCGTCCCCTGGTGTCGACTGCGGATACTGCCACTTCAACTGCATCTCCTATTTCACTACCATCCCAAGAGCGATCTGTTGTTATCCCGGTCCCTATTCCAGCTTACATTTGCAGTTACCTTCGGTGCTGGATCATCACCCAGCTTGTGTCAGCTGGCCTTCCTTTCATCCCTCTAAGTCTGGATGTGACTGTGACAACAGACGCATCTCTATTCGGATGGGGAGCCTCTCTTTCTCCACTCCGCGCCTCCAGGGTCTGGAACACTGCCTCTCAAGGCAAAACATATCAACGTGTTAGAACTCTACGCAGTGTTCAGTGCTCTTTATCATTTCTGACAGCACTTAGTAGGTCATTCCGATCGAGTCCAGAGTGACAACTGAATGCCAGTGGCATACATCAATTGCCACGGTGGCACCCACTCTCCCCGGCTCTGTGCCCTTGCGTGGCAGCTTCTCATGTGGACGAGCGATCAGGGGATCAGCCTTCAAGCTGTCCACAGACCGGGAACCTGCAACAGCAATAGCAGATGCACTCTCTGAGGCCGCTGTCTGCTGACAGAGTGTATTCTTCATCCGAAAGTTGTCAGCCAGATTTTCGCAGAGATAGAGGATCCTCATATCAACCTCTTCACATCCGGCGACAATGCGCACCTTCCGACGTTCTGCTCCAGGTTCCCTCACCCGTGAGCATGGGCAACAGACGACCTGCAGATCTACTGGGCAGGCCTTCTGGTATATGCCTTCCTTCCAATCTCCCTCATCCCATGGGTCCTCTCCAAAATAGAATGAAGGCCATGTCGGATCCTCCTCGTTGCCCAATTCTGGCCTCCCCAACCATGGTTTCCAAGACCGAACACTCCCGGTACAATGGCCGCTGGTCCTTCCGGTCTGAGAGGACATCCTCTGTCAGCCCATGTGAGGGATCCTCCACCCAGCACTGGAGAGTCTTCACTGGACGTGCTGGATGTTTTCCAATGTTCCTTCAGGGCGTCGGGCCTTTCTGTAGAAGCTGCGTCTATGGCAGCCCATAAAAGATTTACAACAGCCGACTATAACATTTAACAAGGTGGTGGCGACAGCCATAGTGTTTCTCCAACCGGAGCTCCTGTGAGTTCCATTTTGGACTTCTTTATGTATCTGTTCCACTCGAGCCTCAAGGTTGCCACCATCTGCAGCTACCAGTCAGCCTTGGTGGCTGTCCACTCAGGCTTCAGTGATGGCTCGACTGTCTCCAACAATGCTGCTATCCATCATCTCCTTCGAGGAATGTTTGTCGAGTGTCCTCATGTCGAACACTTCGTGTTATCCTGGGACCCACGGAAGTGTTCTTCGCATTCTTGCCAGTCCCCCTTTGAACCACTGGCTGATGCATCTGAACTGTATCTCGGCATCAAGTTGGCATTCCTCTTCGCGGTCGTTACATCATGATGAGGTAGCAAGCCATATGCCCTGTCGATTGTCGAGGGTCACATCTGCTGGGAGCCACACAGGGTTTGTCTCATTCCAACCATCGATTCTTAATTAAAAACCAGATGCCTACCTTCCAGCTTACTGTGGCATTTTATTCCCACAAGCCAGCCTAGGTCTCGCCAATCTGAGCGAACTTTTTCCAACTGTGTGGAAAGTCACCTGACCTAATCCTAAACTATCTACCTTGGCCCTTGAGTTTGACGAGCTATCTAAGGTCCAGGGGTTAAGGGTCATTTTGGCGGAAATATACCACTGATTGGTAATTGATTAGGTGACCCGGTTGACTGACACTACAATGAGCATGTGCATGAATAAGGTATTACCATCAAGATCAACTGGACTTATTTAATATACTTTTCTTTAGCTTATTTAATCACTAAATTACATTGGAATTTACTTATTTTATACAAGAGTTACAAAAGAATAACACAAAATACAATTAGAAAAGAACACTTAAATAATCCGCACTCAGCATTCCACATTCCACAACCTTTTACCTGTATCTGCAATCCGCACTCCTCACTTGGGTGACTGCACCCAAGATGTCAGCGGATCGCCGGTGCTAATTAACTAACCCAAACTAATGGGTAACTGGGCATCTACCAACACTCTGGCTGTCCATACTTAAAGATTATTTTCAGTGGTTAAAAGGTATAAGACCTGGCAGATGTGCTGGTTTAGTGAGAATGATTATAAATGGTAAGAGAATGAAGAGAGCCAAACTTTTCTCATCATTTTCCGTCAATTTTTTGCTCTTTTTATGGCTTATAGTTACTTCTTAGGTGCTTTAAAAAACATCAGTTCAAAAGTAAACTAAATTCTCCTTGTTGTTGAGAGAGGTTTTGAAATAAAGTCCTCTGGTGCAAATACTTTGACGTAAAACTTTAAATAAATTGAAGTCCATTTGATTTGCACTTGTAGCCAATCAAATGCCCAACAGATGTACCAGTGTGCCAAATTATCCTCAGATAATCATTTTTATAAATCTGAAGGTGCTAATTTGTATTTTACATGATCAAAGTCACTCTTTTGGAAGTTTTGAAAAATGACACAGTAAAAACCCCCCGCACTTACTGGTATTTAAAAAATCAGGAGACATTGGACTACTCCCTTTGAAATGTTGTCTTTTTTTAATGTACCCATGCACAACATGTTATTTAGTAATCCTAAATTATGTACAGCTTTATAATGATGTAGGATTGCTTTCATATACAATTTTGTAAATTAACTTGCCAGATGTGCCGGTTATTGTGCCTGATTGTGGAAAACAACAAGTCCTCAGCCAAGGGTCGTGTTCTTACCCAAGCAGACTTAAGAGGAACACTGAGACGCTGTCAACAAGTTATCAAGGAAGGATTTTTGGAGAAGAAGAATCACAATCTGTACACCACATACACAAGGTTTGGTTTTTATTATAGGGGTGTGAAATCTCTGCCTTTTTGTTGAAAATGCCAAATTTAATTTGCGGCTTTTTAGCTATCAATGGGCCAAATTTTTCTTCCTTTCACAAGTTCCAGTTTTTCCATTTTTTTTCTTTTTCTATTGACGCGATAGCCAGGCCAAATCAACAGAACAGTACTGGAGTTCCCGAATAATGCACGCGAGTGAATCTGCTGTACTGTACAACATACATACATGCAGGTTCATTGTACATGTATGTGTATTCCCCCGTATGTACGTGCGTACAGTGTATACAGACCTGTGTACGGGCATATATTCGGCACGGAGCAAGCTTGTAAACAGCTTCCCCGGACCATTTTGTCGTGTTTGGCTGCCAATAAAATATCAATATTCATATGTGTGTCAGTGGGACTTGTTACAGCTGTTTGTGCATGAGCAGAAGAAGTGACTAATAAGCTTCACTGTTACTCGTGGCAGCATACATTTCATTGTAACTTTGCGGCTTGAAGTAAGGTTAGTAAATTTTCACTTTCGCTGACAGAGGCTTTGTGACAACTGGTGCGAGGCGCGCAAAGTTCTTGTGTCACGCAGTCTTGTGCAGTTTTGCATCGTTTTGTATTGGCTTTCAAACAATTTTTGGACATAGACTAATCTCAATATCAGTGCAACATGTACAATTGTTCAAAGAGGTTCCGACTTGGATACAGTCTTTGATAAGACCGATCCTCAAGTTATAATTCCATGCAGAAATGAACTGTAGATGAGACAAGGAGGCAACACAGCATGATACGGTCCATGCCCGGAGAATCCAAATGCCTGGACATGCGATGTATGGTGTACGCACGCGGTGTGCATTATTTCAAGAACTGAAATTTTAAAAACATGCTCAGATCATGTGAGAAAAGTGCCCACTCACTCAACAAACCTTGACAGACTTTACAATTTTGGTATACCTATTACTAGTTCATTTGGAAAGAGTTCCATGTACGGACACTTCATGCCTCTGTGCTCAAACCTAGAATTGAAAATATGGCTTAAATTGCAAGAAAAAAATCAATGGTTACAACAGGAGGCTGTAAACTGCACCACAGAGCATCTACATTTCAAAATTTTCCAAGAGCTTTTATGTGGACACCGGACCTCACACTTTATATGCTTCGCACTTGGCACTCGGGATTTCAGCTGTTTCCAGCTATTTTTTGTGTTCCATTCATACCCTTGCATAGAGAACCGAAGTGAATACGTCATGCACACAATTATGTGTGTGAAAGGTATTAATGTGAGAACCAGAGCAAGATGACGCGTGTATTCCATTCATTTGCACTGCTTTTTCTGGTTCAAAGTGATGTCAGACTTCAGTACTCTAAAGTATTTTATTCAACAACTAAAACAATTTTATTATACTATCCCTGAGTTGATTCCAAATTATTTACGTTTAGTTATTGGATTGTTTTTAGGAGATGGATTCGAATACGAGAAGGTGAATTGTCCTACTATAAGCCAGATGATGACAATCAGCAAGCTTTGAATATACTGCAACTGTCAGATGATGTAACCATTGTAAAGAAACTCAACTTTAATGGTTTTAGCATTGCAACACGGAAGAAGGTCTACTTGTAAGTACCCGTTTCATTCACCATTGCTGTAGTTGAATCAGCACAAATTTGTTGACATTGATTTCGTTTAAAAGGCAGTTGTTTCATTTTATTGGGGTTTAAGTTGTTTGTTACCTTCTCACATTTCTGTGGGAAATCATCAAAGTATTTCACCCAGTCAGATAAAGTGTTGGCAACTAATGAATGTTATGAATGTTTAAATAATTTAGAGCTGTTGCCATCGAGAAAAAGTGTTACTACTTACCTGTAAAGGCTTCAGCAACTAGTGCCACTAGTTCAGTAGTCACCAATACCAAAAGGTATTGGTTGTCATGACCATCAATTTCCAGATAGTTGACTAGTTGTGACCTGACAACTAGTCAAACTGTGTGATAACTAGTGGTCAGAACTTGTAGCCCACACCATGACTACATTGCACATGTTTCACAGCAACAACAATAATTCATCCATGCCCACAACTGCACAGTGAGTACCCAGTACCCAGTACCCTTGTGTTATGCAGCATAGCAGTTGCTGGTGATTGCATGCACACCAAGGTTTGGTAAACTGCACATGCACCCCACAGATCTGGACAGGAGTGCACAGAACACCAGGTGGGCGCATACTTACTACTTCTTACACACGATTCATCCACGCTTGAAGATTGTCTTTCATGAGCACGACTGTGTACAGATGCTTCATTCAGCTAAGGGATTGTGTTTTTATGCATATCTGTAAAATAAAATGTATTTGTGTTGAATGTACAGTTTAATACATTATTAACTCTGTATTAGTAATAAGTGTTATGTTACACACCACGGTAACATTTTTCTGATGTCTGTACCTGTGTTACTCCTTCTCCTTTGCAGGGCTATTTTGCTAAATAGTGTAGGCCATGTTCCAAGTGTGACCTGTCATGACAAAATGAGCATAAAGTCGCATCCCACTCTTTCCTATTTTGAAAGTTTAGAGTCATTGAAGTGGAGGTCAATTTTGGGGTTTTGTAATATTTGGAATGAGTAAACAGTCTCCAATTTCATTCCAAATATTTAAGGGGATCATAAATGTAAAAATTTCATGTTCTCAGCAGTTTTGATGATAACATTATTTGAGCCTGGTCAGAAATGTTGAAACAGTGTCTTGAATAAAGACGCAAAGCTGCCAAAATCATGTGTGAGGAACCCTAATGCTGCAATGAGGCGAATGCCAAACAGTTCCCATCTGATGTGACCATCCGCTATGGAGAGGGCACTAATCTTGCAGTCTCTTTGCTAAGTGATGACAGCTAAAAGGAATGCGAGTTTGATGCTTAAGTGGAGGAGGAAGGAACAGGCCACCGGTTCAAATGGCAGTCTGGCTAAAATATGCAATACGTCCCCCAAGCTCCAGAATGGAATAAGGCTTCTGGGAAAGTGTCTTATTGTCAAATTATCTGTAGCTGACAACCCATCAGGGAAGCTGTAGTGAAGTGCTGCGGTGGCGGAGCGGTAGTTCCAAATAGTGGCCACTGGCAGACTGGAGTTAAAAAGGTGCACGAAGAAATTGGCTGTGACTGAAAGAGGTGCCTCTGCTGGATTCACAGCTTGCCCTCTCCTCAAGGAATTGAAATGTCATAGATCTTCCTTGTAGACAGTCGTTGACCCCTAGTGGCCATGGAAGCAGCTTCTTCAGAAAGGCCTGCTGCTTGAAATGATTGTTGGACAATGTCAAGCTGATTAGTTATAGGTGAGCTGGATCCAGATGTAGGATGTAAGACTTGAGTTGGAAGATGATGTCCGGGCTGCATAGGACAAGAGGAAGATGGACTAGCAGTCTGATGATGCAAGGAAACCACGGTTGTTTTGGACAGAATGGGGCAATGAGGAGGATTCTACAGTTCTTTTGCTCCATCTTGGGAATCAGTGATAGAGGAGGGAACGCGTAGGCCAGCAGTCCTGTCAAGTCCATGCGCAAAGCATCGGTGGCCCATGCCTATATCTCTATAGCTTTTCCACACGTTTTCTAGCGTCAAAGATTTAGGCACTCATCCATCTAACTGACTTTATATTAGGTGCATATTTAGTCCATCTCTCTGTGAGGGTGGCATCATCAGGGGTCACGTGACATTAGATTAAAGTTGCTGTCTTTCTCCATAGGTATTGTACACGTTTTTAACCAGCCAGATTTTGGCACTCGTCTCAGTCAAAGTGACTTCATTCTGGTGCACACTCATAGTCCACCTGGTAGACAAACGGGTGGACTATGAGAAACAAAAATGTCATAATGATTTCATAATGGGTCACGCGACATCACACTGAAGTTGCAGTTTTTCTCCTAACATTTTGCTCACGTTTTTCTACTACACCCTATTATCAATCTCAAGGAGCAAGTAGTCCTCAACTTCAGCTGCGGATTACTATGAAAACAAAACAAGAATCTGAGAAAATTTTCCTCTTTCTTTAATTGGAAATATACAAAGGAGTCAAAATATCAAATAATATTTCATGAAACTTGTTTATTTCAAATGCAAGTCATGTGATATGAATTTAAAGGAGCAGTTTTTCTGCATAGATGTTTTTAGCCTGTTGAGTTGTACATGTTTCAAGGCACCATTCGGGTACTTAAGCTATCTTTCATTTTCATTCAGTTACAGTCAACAAAGACCCAGATGTAAAAATTACGCCAATTTTATGACGTCATGATGACATCTTCTTGTAATTTTTTTATTGATTTTTAATTATTTCATTTTCCTCCTAGCTTTTGTACGCGTATTTTTCACCAGCCAGTCTTCAACACTTTGTCGATCTGACTGACTTTATATTATGTGTGTCTCACCAGCTAGAGAGGGTCCAAGGAAAAATTGTCATAATGACTTCATGGGGTGTCATGTTTCATCACATTTATTGTGCAAACTTCAAAGCCTTATATCTCCTGTAGTACATGTCCTATATGGTTAAAACTTTGCAGATAACTAGAAAGGGAAGTGTTATAGACAAAACTTGACCGCATGTTATGATGATGTCATCATGTGACATTAACCACTTCCAGCCGCAGGCTCCGGTACGGGAGGCATAGGCCTTATAAAAAGTTGCTGGGCGTTTCTTAAGAAGTTTAGTGCTGTCAGTTAAAAAGTTTAGGCCATCATTGGAGGTAAATAAATTGGTCTTAGGCAATAATAGGTTGCTGGGGCCGGAGAATAGGGACTTTATTTTATAGCCGGGGTGACAGAACTTATAAAAGCCTGTAATAAAATTACGAGCTGCTGGGCACTGCCAATCAAACCCCGTATTCTTTCATTGCAGAGTGCTGACAGTAGTGGAGGTAATCCATGTATTGTATTGTTTGCGCTGCCTGGCGCTCGTAGCGGATTATCGCTGCACTGCACTGAAGACAAAGCGCGGGCTCATTATGCACCTGTGCCCCATGAATGACCCGGCACGGGCGCTGCCGGCCCTTACCACGTTGACTGACAGGGCTTGGCCCTCGCTGCTTGAGAATTAAATCGCCGTGCAGTGGCTACATGTGTTCATAATGGGTATCGTGTTATCAGAGCACAGACAACATGGCTGAAGTTATATCCGGAGAGTCCGGTTCTTCCAGTGAAAGCAAGTTTTATCTCAGTTCAGACAAAGGTTCTTCGTCTTCTTCATCATCGCTGTCACCTGCTCAAGTACAGTCAAGTACAGAAATTGACAGTGATGTACCCTTGGTGGTATATGCCAAGCGCAAGAGACAGTCCCGTACACAGACCGCCGCGTCGACCAGCAGCAGTGCCGCACTGTTCCGGTGGACAGATGAAGACAGTACACCACTGAAGTACGGCTTCACCGGTAATGGTGGTGCCGTCGATCCCCGCCTGCATCGCAGCTTGACCTGCAGTGAAGCCTTTGAGCTGTTTTTTGATGACGTTCTCTACAACAAGATAATGCAAGAGACCAACCGGTATGCCGTGCAGAGGCCCGCTACGACTTCAGCGCACATGCGATCATGGACTGATCTGAACACTAGGGAACTGAAGGCCTTTCTGGGATTTTGCATAATGATGAGCATTGCGAAGCACTCGACCGTTCATAGCTTCTGGTCCACCAACCCACTACTGAAGATGAGCCTATTCCCATCCATCATGCCCCGAGATCACTTCTTTGCCATCCTGCAGTCCCTGCACTTCAACGATTACACCGCGATGCCAGAGGACTGCACTGACCACCTCTTCAAAGTGCGCCCAGTTGTCAACCATCTTGCTCAGAAGTTTGCCACTGTCTACTTTCCTCAACGGGACATTTCTGTCGACGACTCCCTGCTGAAGTTTTACGGGCGTCTCCGCTTCGCTACCTACAACCCCAGAAAGAGGGCCCGCTTCGGCATCAAGATGTACAAGTTGTGCCAGAGCACGGGGAGTGCCGCCGGGTACTGCTACAACTTCAAAATCTACAGCGGCCAAAGTAAAGGAGACCTCCCACCAACTACACAAGTGGTGATGGACCTGGTGAACGACCTAAGTGGCAAGGGCTACAACCTTGCCCTCGACCGGGCCTTCAGCAGTCCCGATTTGTTTCGACGACTTCACAACCAGAAGTTCAACGTCGTCGGCAC